AAACTGTTGCCCACAGGCCCTCTCTGCTGACGCACAAAAACACAGTGATCCTTTATTTCATCTGAGAGATATGGAGGATATCCTCAACAGACAGCAGCACTACACAAGTGCTCTATGGGATCATATTAAATGACAATAAAACAGTGAAGCTGTCAAAAGCCATCGTGTCATAACAGCTGCCTGTTGTTTACGAAGGTCTGGACTTGCTTGTAAGTAGTGAGAGCATTTCTCTGACAATAAACAACAAACACCCTGCAGGTTAGACATGTAGTACACTTTAAAAAGGGCAGATCGGGGGATGGAGGCTGGTGGAGCAGGCTCTTCAGGTATCTGACTGAAATGTGAATGAAAGTGCTCATGTTATGTGTTTTTACCGCAGTAGCAGCACGGCTCCAGACTGGGCATTGTTCATTGGCCAGTTGCAGAGGAGGAAGAAGTGTGGAAATAACCTAATAAAAGTCCTGCATTCAAAATTTTAATTTAATCACTATCTTCTAGAATTGATTTTAAAATCCTTCTATTGGTTTATAAGGCTTTTAATGGCATGGCCCCCTCCTATATAACAGACTCCCTGTCACCATATGTCCCTCCACGAACCCTGAGATCCTCCACAGCTGCTCAAACTGTCCTTAATGTCACTACAAAAACCTTTGGGGATGCTTCCTTTAGCTACTACGCCCCAAAAACATGGAACTACCTGCCTTTGAATATCAGACAATATGGCTCAGTGGACAGTTTTAAAACGACGACCCAAAACATGTCTTTTTAATATAGCCTATAAGCAGTAGCTATCTGTTTTAATAATATCAATCTGTATTTTTTATTATTTAATTGATTAATTAATTGATCGATTAATTTATTCTTCTCTTCTCTTACAACTTTTGCAGAAAAATATTTATATACAAGAATCCATTTCATATGTGGGAGACCCAAAAGAATATTAAAAACATTGGTGCGCTTTATTCTACATCCAGTTCAAGATTCCACTCAAGATTTTTGGTGTCCTCCCATTAGCCTGAGGACTGAAAATGCTGTTAAAAGTAAAGTTGCAAAATACCAGCCATCTGACAGCCTCAAGTCTTGTGGTGTTGCAGCTCCTCACTGTGACCACCGGAGGGCAGTGAACACTCGTGTTTCTAAATACACTTAGGTCAACTGTTGGCTCTGCCTTTACCACCACCAAAGAAGATGTGAAGTGTGTGTGTGTGTGTGTGTGTTTGGGGGGGTAATGTTCCTCCTCTGTTTATGTGAAAGATCTCTGTGTGATTAGATCTGCTGACTGTCTTAAGACTGGCTCTTGGGGTAAGAGGGAACATAAGATCACTGTGCTGCACCGAACTTCTGATGCAACAACCACATCTCCTGGTGAACAACTCATATAAACATAGCTTCCCAGAAACATCATGTACCTAAAGACATCAACCATTCAATTGAGCCATTATGTGGTGAATGATATGATGAGGAATGTACCTGTCTGTTGCGGAGGAGGTAAATGTAGTTAAAGCTTTGGCTCGGACACTGCCAGTTCCTTGGTTTGTTTATAAATGCCGGTTGTTGGACATGAGAACAAACCACACAGTGTTTGTGAGCGAACATTCAGCGAGAACAGCCGAATGAAATTTCACAGATGTACACTTGCAAACTGGAGTGTGATTGTGAATGTGTGCTTGTCTCAGCAGATGTGATGTTGGTAATCAGCAGGCACACAGGTCAACCAAAGGCAACTGCAGCCACATACATTATGTTATCTTTGGGTGTGAGTGTGTGTGAGAGAGAGAGGAAGAGAGAGATACTTTTTTTTTCAACAAGTAGCAAATCCTTGTGGTGACCAACAGTGGTGCCCCCAAATTTTTACATAGGCATGGCCAGATGGGGGCCACAAAAGCCATGACTAATTATCAGATTTTAATGTGTTTTGTATCTGTGTATGTTTGGCGATTCATCGTTCTTCAAATAGGCTGGTTGTCCTTTTCATTAAAAAGACAAATACGCAGCTATAATTTGAAGGAGCACATTGATTGTAAGGGAACAAACATTTATTGGGGGCAAGCCTTCTCAAGTTTAGGGGAGACTCATGGGTAATTGTAGAACCCATTATCATGCAGGTATCTTGAGCTGAGAGTTCAACAGAGCCCTTTGAAAACAGCCATGCCAGTTGTTACCTCACAAAAATTGAGTCTAACTTTGCAGCGTTATTAATGCCCCTTCCTGAAAACTATACCAACATGGTTGGAGGCTGGATGCCCTAGATCAGGAGTGTCAAACATACAACCCAGGGGCCAGAACTGGCCCATCAAAGGGTCCAATCCGGGCCCATGAGATGACTTTGCACACCTGATATTGATGCACTTGTGAAGGTTAAGAGGTGTCAGGTTTCAGGAGCAAGTTAAACAGTGAGTGGATACTTAATTTAAAATGCTGCCTCAGAGGCTTACTTACTTACTGTATTTAAAGATATTGAACATTGTGCAATGTATTGTCAACCAGCAGCATCAGTACAACAGAATCTGAATCAGCCCTCTGTCTTTAAACAATATGGGTGGGGCCCTGTTGCTTAAGCACTGACAAAACTTCAGATTTGTAAATAGGTTGAAAGTCAGGGGATGACTTATCCTGCTTCTTCAACAGCTTCCACTTCAGTGGGAGTGAAACATTCTGAAAAAAATGCACATGCAATGAAAGTGAGTAGTAGTGTGAAGTGGAAAAACTGAGACATACTCTTAGATTCACACATATTTTCTTAGGATATTGTGGGCTGTTCATCATTTGCTTCTTCAATGGATTAATGTTTTCAGAATGTACTAACTAACAAAAGGGGAAAAAATTATTTATAGGTTATTATGCAGTGGTTTTACTAGTCCGGCCCAACCGAGATCAAACTGGGCTGTATGTGGCCCATGAACTAAAATGAGTGTGACACCCCTGTCCTAGCTTGTTAAGTTTAACAAGATAGTGCTTGTGTCCCCCAAACCTTACCCTTCATAACGCTGTAAGATCCCCATCTAAGATCCACCCACAAGAACCACACCTTGAGGACTAAACATACTGTAGGTATGCAAACATATTTTATGCTGCCAGTATGTAGACTTGCAGATGGCATTTTCTCTGTCAAACCACCCCAGGTTTTCCTTTTAGCTCCAGTCAAACATCTACAGTGAGCATATCCTCCTGAGACCCCGTGTCCTCACATGAGGACATTGCATTCTGCGTTTGCTGTACCTTATACTTCTTTCTACTTAACTTAGACCTGTTGTCCTCATTCGCGGACACTTTTTTTGTGCCATCTAGTGGTAGTAAGAGCACAATACATTAATCCATGTAAAAACAAGATGGCGGCCATCTCTGCCAAGTCAGTCTGCAGCTAGTCTGAGTGGGCGGAAGTTCGCTGCATAGATCAGCCTCTCATTGGGCAGAACGAGCCACCCGCTGAAGTCCCGCCCTACCACTTCCGGTTGTCATAATCGACAAACGTCCTTTACTAACTTTTGCGGTGTTTGATCTTGCGGGGATGTAGCCATTTTTCTGCCATGGTTCGTGTCCTGTAGGCGATATTTTTGTGGGCGTGTTAAACCAAAACCTGTTTCCCCCCGCCGATATTTTTGCAAGCGCACCGTTGCTGTGGCACCGCCCAGAACGATTGTGATTGGTTGAAAGAAATACAAGCTGCCGGGGCGTTTTTTTCTCCAATCTTAAAGTGAGAGTCGGCCCAGACTAGTCTGCAGCCAATCCGGACACAACAGTGGAATAGGTCTAAAACCTGATCACACTTTATGGCTGAAACGTGTATTTATGATTAATAATGTTTGTAGTTTGATATGCCAACAAATTTGACCAATTTTAGCAACAGTAACAAGCTTTTATAATCATCTCGTTTGAGGATGTTGGGACTTGGAGTATGGGTCAAGGAAAATTCATGCAGAGTTTCTAAATGAACGAATCACAAGATTTTTAGATTTGTTACAATATTTTTAATTAAATTTTTTATGTTCAGATTATCAGTGTTAAACTTACTCACACATTTGTGACTATTAAGATAAACCCATTGTCCCCATATGAGGACATCTTTTGTCTTGTTTAAAGACACTGTTCAGTTTTTTATACTTATCAAGTCCTACTGATCCCACATAGCTAGGAGACATACCAAACAGAGGCTGAGGTCTCAGGAGGATATTATGGGTTGTTTTTTTTTTTTACTCAAAAGTGAATGGTTTCAGTTATTTTCAAAAAACGAGCCACGTATGCAAACATTTGCACGCAGGCACCATTAACATATAAAGGCTATTATTAACAAAGAATGATTGCAAGACAGATTTTATTGCACACATCCCAAGAGAGATCTAACCCAATCAGATCTCTATCAAGTCCCACCACACAAATTGGAAAATAGTGTAGAAAAGAAAGAACACATATCCTTGACAGTTGCTCCTCGTGATTCTAATCTAAATTACATAAGGGTGTGTTACACAGTAAGTGTGTGGCTCATCCCCTCATTGAGTCACAGCAGCTGTCAGCTGTATGTCAGCAGATGGAAGTTCCTGTTGCTGGCTGGGAGTCAGACATTCAGATCATTTTGAGGATTTGACTCAGTTTCAACATTTCACTTTGGCCTCTTTCTCCCCTAACTGAGGCAGACAGTCTGCTCTCAAATGCTGCCACTTGATCCTACTATAAGCTATATACAGTAAGTGCGCATTAAGGCTATTGGCTGTGCCAAATATTTAGTTGTCTCCCTGGCAACAAAAACATTGCTATTTCTGTCCGGCCCTCTGGCCTGTGTCCCCTCTCGCAGACAGACTCCACAGCAACAGGTTACAATGTAACAGCCTCATGTCAACAAATCACTAATTATCCTCACTTCACTAAGGTCTGCAAACACTTGTTAAGCACTAAATTAGTTATTTACAGTCTGTAACAACACTTTGACTTCATTGGTCGCTGCTGTCTGGTGGCCTGATTGCATTCGCTGCTTACAGTGTCACTCAGGCTGCAGGACCCTCCCACACTGCATATATCTGGCAGGGTGCAGTGAGGCGAGGCCCTGCAGCATTCTCACTTCTCCTCAGCTGGACCTGACTGACTACATCTGCAAAGATGATGAAAGTAAGTGCGTTTTTTTACAACAATATTGTGCTTGTGTTGCTTTTACTGTCTGTATTTTGTGCCTCAGATGGACGAGCAGTGTCAGGTCATATATTTAACAGTGGCACTAACAGCTGGTTGAGTGTCAGCTCACTCTGCCATGCTGATGAACCTGAACAGCTGAGCTCTGCTTTACCTAAACCAGCTTTTAAGTTCAACTGTATTTTGCTTTTAAGAGGTCTTGCCTTCCTAGATTGCCTTTTATGGTCAAAGTATTCACCACAGAGCACACGTACATGCTCATCAGTCACCTAATACACGTTTTTTTCAAGAGCTGCAAATGCACAAAAGATTACTCAGCTGCTTAGGTTATTACATTCTTCCAGCAGTAATTGTATTACACTGGAACAGAAATGCTTGATAACATTTGTCTATTTCATTCATTCTCAGTCTCGATATCCAGAGCCAAACGCTGGCAGAAATGCATTCTGGTCTCTTTGGACTCATAAACTGAGTAGATTACAATAAAGGCCCTGTATCATTCTGGCTTTTTGTTGGCTACAGGGGTATCACATGTTGAGAAAGGACACAGCCAGGTCGGGGCAGCGGGTTTAAATCACATTTAAAGCTAAAATGAAATAAAGGCATCATGTGGAGGCTGGGATAGATGCTGGCTCTGCTGTAAGTCCCAAGTTTTCCTCTTGGAGTGAAGAAGTCAGCAGTGGCACATGTAATTCTATCAGGGAATGTCTCTAACACTGTAAACGCTCAATTTTGTATTGATATCACTCAGATATTCCAGCAAGGTGACATTTATTTTAGATTAAATAACTCATACCTTTAAGTATTTGTAGTTAGCTGGATGCCAGATTCTGTCCCTCAGTCAGTGAGAGGTGTGGTGAAGTGGCATCCCTTCCACAGTACAGTAGGCAGATTCCTTTAGACAGCAGTGTATGGGAGAGATGCAGGGTGACTGCCAGCTTCGCCCTCAGCCCAGCCCCGCACAGCTCAAGCCCCAGTGCCATGTGTTATCCGGGCAATTTACAGTTGGACTCTAACATGGAAAGAATTTCGTACCCTTGTCATTCTATCCCTTTAGCATGCCTTTCTTGTCTGGTTGATGATTCAAATACAATTTTTCTTGGGTGGGTTTTACTCCAGATGTATCTTCTCATGTTCTGCCATAATCAACTAACCGTCACCAACATGGCACCATATCTGCCTGAGGACTATTTATAGAGGTGTTCAGATGAACAATATTACTTAAAGTCACTGGGAAACAATTCCACTTCACTTCCTGTGCAAGTGTGCTGCCTGGCCATGTTAATCATTCTGACCCTGAACTTTATCAGCTAAATAAACTGCCTTTAGTTATTTTTGGTGCGGAAGTTTGCCCTCTTGTTGACTGTCCAGGGCCGTAGCAGCAAATTCTGGGCCATATGAATAAGCAGTTTCTGTGGGTCCCCCGCCCTTCCTCCCTTGATCCATGTTTCGCTTGCACTCTTTTTTTTTAATTCATTCATTTTCTGTAACTGATTATTCTGTTGGGGGTCGCGAGGGGCTGGAGCCTATCCCAGCTGACACTAGGCCCGTTTCCAGTGAAGAAGTTCCTGGAACTATTTGGGGAGCAGGAACTACTACAGGAACGTCCTCTCGTTCGGCCCTCTCAACCGCCATGTCTCCACTGAGCGAAGTACGAGGAAGGTTCCTGTAGAGTTACGGGCTGCTTCTGGATGTGAGGTAATCGTTGTGCGACCATTTTGACCGGGGCGACGTAGGGACGCCGTTAGCTGTTAGCCGATAGCTAACAGCTAACGGCTGTTAGCTATCGGCTAACAGCGGATATCTTTCCAGCGGATATGTTAGTTACAACATGATTGAGCTAACTGGAGTAGTTTCATGTCATATCCGACAATGGGAGGCTTTTAACAGATGACGTCCTGATGTTAGCTTTGCTGCTGCTGTTAGCTGTCCCTGTCAGCTGATGCTTTCTAGACATCGTGATTTCCCAAAACTGAATAAATACCACACATAGCAACACAAAACTGCTTTGCTAGCTCAATCATGTTGTAACTAAGATATCCGCTGGAAAGAATAATTTTTTCACAGGCCATTTTGTGAGGTTTTTTTACATGGCGGTGAAAGCTATATGAACGAGCTAACCCTCGTCTGCTGAGTTTTAAAAATGCCGGCTATTTTGTTGCTTTCTGTTGACGTCACATCCCTCCTTGAGTATATCCAGTCAGCACCAAGTAATCCCCAAGCCCCAGCCAGGAGTCTTTCGGGGCCGTTTTGAGTACCTACTCCGAGGCAGGGACTTGTTTAGCCCCCGTAAAAGTTCCTGAACTCTGTCCTTCGGGGGTGGTTCCTGTTGTGGAGACACTCACCAACGGCCCTGGCCCCGTAAAATTACCCCGAAGTTCCTGCGGTGGAAATGGGCCTATTGGGCGAGAGGCAGGGTACACTCTGGACAGGTCACCAGACTATCACAGGGCTGACACATAGAGACAGACAACCATTCACACTCACATTTATACCTACAGTCAATTTAGAGTCACCAGTTAACCTGCATGTCTTTGGACTGTGGGAGGAAGCTGGAGTACCCGGAGAAAACTGAAGCTGACACGGGGAGAACTCCACACAGAAGGGCTCTCCCACCCTGGGCTTCAAACCCTCCATCCCGGGCTTCGAATTAGCGACCCTCTTGCTGTGATGCGACAATGCCAACCACTGTACCACCGGGCCGTAGCATCGCATTCTGGGCCCTATACATTAGCAGTCTCTGCGGGCCCCCCCGCCCTTCCTCCGTTGATCTGTGTCTCTCTCACGCACCTTTTGAAATATTTTTTTTTTTCACAAAGCCAATTTGGAACTGCAACTTCCCTTTCTTGATGGCAAAAACATGACATGACAGTTTACACTGGTGCTCCAGCAGCATAAGCAGTCACTCACTCTGCTTTAGCTGTGTTTAGAGACGAATCCTATAGTGCAGGAGTGGACTAAACCATTTTCTGCTTTTTAAGGGGTGAGAGGGGCCTCAGAGAACTTCCATTATTTTTTTAATACAAAGTTCACTTTTTCAGCTGATTTATTCCGCCAATTTTAATTTGGTTATGGCACTGATTACTTAGAAATTACCAGGCTTCTCGAGGGCCCCCCTTGAGACCCACTTTTCCCTCACTACACTGCCACTGACTGTATCTAACATTGAGATTAGCGAGGACTCTCTCCAACAGCTGCAGTGCATAAAACTCACAGGTCATTAAAATTTTTGCTACTGTCCCCTGAAACGTTAGCTAAAATCAACCTCTGAAAGGCAAGTAAAAATCCCAGGTGTTGTTTGTCATATTTTCCTCAAAGGTAGGTGCAAATGATAAAACACTTACAGAAAGACAAATCACAGAAAGCTGTATTTGTGTCAAATCATTTCCTGTTCCCTTGTCACATGCTTGTATCTCGTATTTTAGACGTCTTAGAACCGAGTTTTTTCAGTGTCTCATAACCCTCTACTTCTTCACATGTTTAACTATATGGTGAAAAAATGTAAACCCTCACAGGGCTGCTATATTTGTACTCGTTGCCTTGGTGACAGTCGCAGTTCCCCAGACACATCATTTGACAAAGTGACAGGATGTTAAAACAGCGGTGATCTGTGTTTCACAACCCTATAATAGATTGCTCAAGTATAATTTCCTAATCGTGGCACAGCTCAGTATTCCCCTGCCACATGTACAGTAGCAACCGAGCTGAGGATTTCTGCCGCGCTCAGCCTTTTTTTTTTTCTTTCTCCACCGTGTACTTGACATCCAGCATTGCACTTAGGAAAATATTACTCAGTTGAACATTCGTCCCTCATCATTTTACAACATTTTTAGCCTCTGCCAAAATCTGCGCAGAGAAAAAAGGGTCGTGGCAACGGTGAGACAGGAAAGCGCTGGAATCTCTGACCAGTTGGCCAATGGGAGTGTAATTGAAAACACATGTTGGGTAATTTCAAAGGATAAAGTGAGGATTGGGGAGTTCACTGAGGCTGCTGCTGGTGCTGTTTTTTGCCTGGAGCTGCAATAATAGTTAGATCTAGTAAAATCCCATGCTGTTTCCACACATCCACACAATAACGCACTGTATCACCATCCCACCCCTCTTTCTCTTTACAGGGTATGATCGTCAAGAATATGTCCTTCAAGGTCGGACAGAAAATGACCATAGTTGGAGTCCCCAAGCCTGACGCTACAAAGTAAGTAGTAATCAGAGAAGTAAGAGAGGGTGGCTGAGGCTAATAAAACATGGTGGTCTGTAAGAGCATTTGCTTGGTTTCAACATTTGGGGGGCACAATTGAAACTGGGGATTTGGGCGTCCTCCCCCACAAAGTTCTTGCAGCGTCCAACTTTTAATTTCCTGCATTCTGGTGAAGTTTTGATGCATCATTTTTTGCATTTTCTGCATAAATAAATGCTGTAAGTTTAATTTCATCAAAATCAAGCAACGACAAACACACACTCTAAATGTTGAGGCGAAAATCCCCCCAAAATCTGCACTACTCCTCTACTACTTTCTGCACTCATTCATTTTCCCCATGTGGAACACCATGACTGAGCTCATCACGTCAGCCACTCTTTATAAACACAGAGATGGAGGTGGAATCTGTAATCAGTTACAGTCAGTGACCACCTATTAACTTCCCCTCAGTAATGTGGGGGTGATGAAGCTGATGGTTACCAGGTGAAAAGAGCAACCACACAACCGCTGTGGTTGTCTCAATAGTTTGTGCACTTTGTGTCCTCTCGCCCGTTTCAAATGTAAGCACCTACATTAAAAAGTAATGATATTTTTTTGTTTCTTTGTGTCGCAGTTTTGCGGTGAACATTGGGCCCAATGAGCAGGAGATTACTATGCATATCAACCCTCGTTTTAACGCCCACGGAGATGAGAATACGGTGGTCTGCAACTCTTACCAGGGAGGCAACTGGTGTGAGGAGCAGCGTGAGACAGTCTTTCCTTTCCACCAGGGAGAGGAGTTCAAGGTGAGAGGTTGTGTGTGTGTCTGCAGGTATGTCCCATGCCTCATTCTGTCTGTTAGTGACCTCTGTTGGAAAATGTGTGTCACTGTACCTTTGATAACAATCATCTCAGCACCAATTGATGTCACTACAGAGATCTGTAAGAGCTGCATCTTTGAATTCTTTATTCTTTCTACCGTCTAGATCGTCATTGAATTCACCCCTTCAGAGTTCCTGGTGACTTTGTCAGATGGCTCTACGATCACCTTCCCCAACCGCATGGGTGCTGAGAAGTATTCCCACATCAGCTTTGATGGGGAAGTTCGCATCATAAGCCTTGAGATCAAATAAACCTCCACCCTTCCGGCAAATTCAGTTTTTCTTTTTCACTTTGTCTAGCATCAGATTGCATATAGCCCCAGCTTTTAGGTTCCTGAATACCACGTATCAGTAGTGCCTTACATGTTTACTGTTATGCAAGAATGTAGTTGACACAACATGGATAAAGAAGATAAGCAAATGCAAGTCAGATTTACCCAAAGAAACACATACAGTATATTATAGCTGCACGTCCTCCCTGCACACTTGACAGACCTGCCGACTGACAAGCAAACCAAACATGAAGTAGTCCAAAGCCTGTGTTATCTGACTGTTATTTGCTCTGCAGTTTGCAGCGTTTAGGTGAAAAGTACCAGATAAAATGTGATCCATTGTTCTTTAAGGTGCCTTGAAATGCTGCATGCTCTCATGTTTTCCCTCCCAGACATTCCAGATGTATGACTGAATACAATGCTTGCCTTTACAGTATTAAAGCAAGTCCTTGATAAACATGGTCTTTGGTGACTTATTACACTTGTTAAACAAGCATGTTATCTATCAAAAAGCCTCTTCTCTGCTCAGCAAAGACACTCTATTTGTGCAACACAGACATTGGTGCTCTATAATTTAAAGGGACAGTTCACCACAGAATCAAAAATACGTATTTTTTTTCTCATACCTTTAGTGCTATCTATTGATGTAGATTGTTTTGGTGTGAGTTGCCAAGTATTGGAGATATCGGCTGTAGAGATGTCTGCCTTCTCTCAAATATAATGGAACTAGATGGCACTCGGTTTGTGGTGCTTAAAGTGCCAAAAAATACATTGAAAGACTCAACAGCAATGTCTCTTTCCAGAAATCATGATGCAGTTACTCAAGATAATCCACAGACTTTGTTGTGAGCAGTTTCATGTAGGAACTATTTTTTCTTCTACCGAACTACACCTGCTGAGTGTGTCACTGTGCAGAAGGAAGCATGCATTGACTCATGGACGAGACACTTGTGATAGTGCAAGATGTAAACATTAATAGCTTCCTCCTCAGCTGAACTGTAATGTTAGCTAGCTTTGTGGCGCTAGGTGAGCTAGCAGTAGATGCACATGCCTGTCTGCGTGGTGACATTGTAAGCGTAGCTCCGTAGACAGAAAACAGTTCCTACATGAAACTGCTCACAACAAGGTCTGTGGATTATCTTGAGTAACTAGGTCGTAATTTCTGCAAGGAGACATTGCTGTTGAATTTTTCAAATGTATGTTTTTGATTCTTTGAGCACCACAAGCTGAGTGCCATCTAGTTCCATTATATTCGAGAGAAGGCAGACATCTCTGTGGCCGGTATCTCCAACACTCAACAGCTCACACCGAAACAATCTAGATTGATAAACAGCACTACGGGTAATAGTAGAAATATGTATTTTTGATTTTGGGGTGAACTGTCCCTTTAAGATCACTGTAGTGAAACATGTACCACTATTTACTATATTACCTTACATCCTACCTAACTGCAACAACTAAAGTTGAGCTCTTATTTCTCTGCTATGAATTCATTTGACCAGCAGGTGTTCTCAGTGAACAAGACATGAATCCTCATGCGACGAACCTAATTTCAACACAGTTTGGCTTGAAAAACCTTGATGAATCAGCAGGGCTTAATTTTAGTCCCCTTTCTTGTTCTGTAAATAGTTTTTGCTCATGTACCTCAAGTCAAAAAATAAATAAAAATCAGTTAACAATTTCAGCCAGTAGATGTCACCATTGCTAAAGTAATGCAATTACTTTAAGGACTGTGGGGAAAATGTTCCAGAGCACACACTGGTTACAACATCTAAGTGACTCTTGAACCTATGTCAGTGTTCTCTGTGAAATCCAGCCTGTGGAACTGTTTGTGTGTGCAGAAACTGTCTGACCTTTTTTTCCTCCATTGTGTCAGAACGTATGATTCTGTATTGATTAAACATATTTCATCCATTTCTTGACAGTCGTGAAATGATATAGATGTACAACAATTAGGAGAACCTAAAGACTTCCTGTAATTGTGCAGAAGATGGTTCGACACACAGCCGTGAAGAAGATAGTGAAGTGATATCTCAAGAGAAAAATCCTATAATCTGACAGCTCTATTGATCTCCTGCTGACCAGCATAATGCGTTCAACGTGGATGTGATGTCACGGTGATGGAATGGAAAATCTGAACAAGGCATAAATCTCTGCAGAGGTTTTAACCAGACACCATTTTCATATGTGTGTGTGTGTGTGTGTGTGTGTGTGTGTGTGTGTGTGTGTTTGAGAGACTCGTGAGTATTATTATAATCTAATCTGATGTAACAGAAGGCAATGTGCGCGAGGCTGATTTTGGGAGTGATGGATAGCGAAGAGGAGGTGAAGAACAGAGTTTGTGTGTGAGAACAGGTTCCCACTGCTCTGATCCTTCAAGACAAAGACTGATGGTATCATGCGGGATGACCTTTCCTTTCTCTCGTTTGTCAGGACTCATTAATGGCAGCACAACGTGAGAGTGTCTGCGGCTTTGATGCCGAGCGTACAAGTGCGTGTTTGTGTGAAGGAGTGTAAGTATGAGGTAATCAGTGCTCTGAAGCTACCTGGCGGTGTCAAAGGTGCTCTCTGGAGGGGGAGATTCAGTTGCCGTGATGACCACAGTTCAGTCCATCTCTTCTATTTCCATCCCCACATCTCTTTCCATCTCGCTCATGTTCTTTTCACCTTCTTCTCTCTCTTTGAATCTCCCTTTTTACCCACATCTTTCCCTTTTCTCTCTCGTCCTCGTCTCTCTCAGTCATCCCTCAGCTGTAACCCATCCCTCTTCCCGCACTCTTAATTGGAAATAACTCATTTTAACACTTCCCCTCTTCATTATTTTGTGGCAGCTGAGATCGATACCCGGGGCTGTGTTGTTAGTGTACCGGTGTGTTTGTGTTTGTTCTGCATCCACTTAGATAATTTGAGCGAGACTCACCTCTACCCCTGACTCCTTTTGTTCAATGTTACGCATACTGATAACAAATAAGAAGGTCTCTGTGTGTGTGTGTGTGTGTGTGTGTGTGTGTGTGTGAACCTGATTGGCCAGTATATGTCAAGAGACAGGTAAGTGTATGCTGTTTAGACACTGTGTGTGAAGGACAACCCTCCAGCCCTTCCACACGCATCCAATCAATCACGTTAGGGCTTTGATTAACACATTCAAATCACCTTGTTTATAGTAGGCCCTGGAGGAAAACACACACACAAACTGATTCGTATAAATGTGTGTGATTTCAGCAGGCAGACAGCAGGCATATGCCATACTGTCAGCACTCTGAATCTATCTCATGCTATGAGCACTGCGGATGTTTAACAGATCCCGTGTTTCCTTCATCTGTGCCATGTCACTTATTCAGTGTGTGAATAAATGCACTGAAATGTTGTGGAATGGAATGATTCACCTCAGCTTACATAAAACCTTTGTCTATATTTAGCGCCAGCATGACTCCAGAATTCTGCACCAGAAGCTATCAGCCACACATTGAGATGTGCGTGGGCCCGCCCTGAGCTGACTGCGGTCCTGGCTTCATGTTCTGCGTGCCTGCCTCACCTCAGGCTCTGGTTTTTTCTTCATCTCGGCAACATGATAATACATAAACTCAAGAGAACCTGTTGGGTTACAGCAACGTGTTGGTGTTACCTTCTGGAGTTTAGATAAAGATTGGAGATTATTTATTTGTACAGAAAGCTTCAAATGAAAACAAAGAAAGAAAACACAGCAGCTGTGCAGAAGAAGACAGAAACACGGGTGGGCTTGTAAGAGCTGTCCCCGAAGAGCGGTGAAAATCAAGTCCCACACAGAGAGGCAAGCAGCAAAAAAACAATAAAAAACAACAAAAGACAAATAAATGTGAGTTCCCTGTGTGTGGAGGGAAGGCAACTGAGGGTAAGATGTGTATGATAAGGACACGAAACATCCTCAGACACTTGTCTGCAGAGATGTTTGTTTATGGAGATTAGAATAAGGAGTGTGGTTGATGATTATATTATACAACAAACAAAGATTTTAAATGCAGACACCAGAGAAACAGAACAAACACAGACATTTTTTGGATTATCTAAATCAGTTTTGTCATTCTCTACAAATCAGTTGAAAGCTTGTGCAGTCTGTCAAGGACATCTTTCCATCTGTTATAATACCGATGCATAGAGTTGACTCATTATTAATTAAAGGTCCAGTGTGCAGGACTCAGGGGGACATTTTGGCAGAAATGGAAGTATTTTTTGTTTCAGTGTGTAATCATCTGCAAATGAGTGAGCCATTTATATCTACATTGGAAGCACGTCCTTGTCCATGTAGCCCACCATGTTGCACCGCCATGTTTCTACAGTAGCCCAGAACGGACAAACCAAACATGGCTTTAGATAGGGCCATTTGCATTTTCTCATTTCTGTGTCAGGCTAACAGGGTGGCTACATACAGACACATGGCAGACAAAAGTAAATGTTCAGTTGATGGTAATAAACTTTTTCTTAATTCACATGTTGCCTGTCATTTTTTTTGCTCTCATGTCATCTGTAATATGGTATTATGTTGTCATGGTTAGTTGCTGTCCATGTAGAGTGACTTACATTAGTTAGAAAAGTAATCTATTAGCATTAGTCAAATAAAGCAATATTTTAGTAGCCCAATAAATAAAATTAAATGAAAGTCTTGGACAAAATCAAGCTGTAATATAAAGATCCACACTGTTGTTTAAATGCTCTGAACAATAAAATACAACATATTTCTCTGTGGCGTCAATGGTGTTTCTACATTACAATTTAAAGGGGAACGCCACCTAGATTGAAATTTCCAGTATGTTATTTCCATGGCCTTGGAAAGTCCAATCAGTATTTGTTAACGTGGGCTACTCTCTCCAAACCATAAACAAAAGAAAAAAGTCTCACCTTTGTGATGTCATTGGGTCTGAGCTGCTCCATAGACAATACATGGTCACCTGATTTTGTGGACCCACAGAATTTGTTTCCTTTTTCATACCCAAATGAGCTTCATTCCATTGTACTGTTCTCAGTTCTGAAATAGGAAATGTACCTTCATACTCAGAACGTTCCCCTGGGTGCTCACAGTGTCTTCTATAACAGTGGTCCCCAACTGGTCCAGATTTCACTGGGTCAAGGTCCACACAGTTTAATTCAGTGTCACACTTGTGGCTGGCCATGTCACCAAGCAGCTGTCCAGTATTCACTCACTCTACAACATAAAACAGCACTCCAAAATAAAAGCTCTGTGCCGGAAATTTGCTGCACTTGAAAATAAAGTGTGTTTTTTGACAACCTTGACATATTTGCTTGTCACTTGCGGTCCATAAAGAATGGACCCGCGACCCACTTTTGGACCATGATCCACCACCATCACAAATTTGAGTTTTAGCACTCTAGTTTTTGGATTTGTGAGAGATTTGCTCATGTTTATTAGTTTATTCATATTTTCTGGACTGTTTTTTGGACCATAAGAATAAATGGGTTTAG